TGTGTGTGTGTGTGTGTGTGTGTGTGTGTGAATGAGGTTGGGAATGGGAAATGGAAGGGATAGGAAGGTGAAACAAAGGAGGAGGCAACAATGCATGTCAGGAAATGTACTTATCATCTTGCCCATTTACTTGTAACCCCTGTATATGGTATTTTCACAGTTAAAAAATATCTAAATAAAAATCTCTCAAATGTCTTTCCAAAAAATAAAAGACATCTGTAGGTTGTGCCAGTGGTTCTCACTTACAATTCTATCTACTCAGGAAGCTACCGCCAAACATGATTAGGGTCAGTATCCAACCTGAATAGGAAAATATATGAGATTTTTAAAATTTATTTCTATTTCTATTGCTTTTTATTTTGGGGGGGGGTCCTGAACTCTGGGCCTGTGGGCTGTCTCTCAGCTCTTCAGCTCAAGGCTAGTGCTCTACCACTTGTGCCACAGCGCCACTTCTGGCTTTTTTTCTTTTTGCTTATGTGGTGCTTAGGAATGGAACCCAGGGCAAGTGCTATACCACTGAGCCACCTTCTCAGCCCCAGTATATGAGATTTTGATCTCTCATAAACTACCCCAAAAGGTGGAAGTAGAATTTGGTTCATGACATAGAGTCCTAGCCTTGGCCATAAATGATCAGGCACAATGGCCTGGCCTTGATTCAAGTTACAGGACAGACTAAAGTACATAGATAAATTAAAGATATCTGTATATCTCTCTCTAAATTATCAGTCATAAATGTTAGGGTAGCTGGGTGCTTGTGGCTCACGTCTGTAATCCTAGCTACTTAGGAGGCTGAGATGTGAGGGTCATGGTTCAAAGCCAGCCTAGGCAGGAAAGGCTATGAGACTAGACTCTCATCTCCAATGAACCACTAGAAAACTAGAAGTGGCACTGTGGTTCAAGTGTTAGAGTGTTAGCTTGAGCTAAAGAGCTGAGGGACAGTGCCCAGACCCAGAGTTTAAGCCTCATGACCAACCAAAAAAAGTGTTAGGGGTTTCCAGGATACTATAGATAAAGTCATTCTAGGAAACTTTTAGGTTTCTATGTTCCCTGATGAAAGCATTGTTGCAACTCCATTTCAAATCACAGCATGTGTAGCAGGAAATATTGTAAAGCTGGGGTAAAGAGGATAATGAAGCCTTCCGATCTCTTCTTTCCACATATGCTTGTCAAGGTTGAGAGCTTCGTAATCCTGCTCACAGGGAACAGCTTCCCAGAGGCAGTCTCACATCTTGGATAGGCTGCCGGTGCCCAGCCACCAATGTATAGCAGGCTTGGGGTGACGAGGCTTCTCCCAGTGGACATCAGTCACTCTCACCTGTGGCCTGGATGGCCTTGTTTACTGGGTATTAGTGTGATGCCTCCACAGGAGACACAAACCACTCTCCCAGGTGCCAATGGAATCTCTTAGAGAATATGCTACGTTTATTAATTAAATGAACAAAATTACTATTTCAAGATGTGTGTTTTTTCAAAGTCAAAGTCATCAGAAAGTAAACTTCAAGACCTAGCTGGTTATTAAAAGTTGGTTGTCTTAGTCCTGGGTACATCCTAAGATGCAGAGATTTGTTGCATTCCCCACTGGGAGCCTGGAAACAAGGGTGACCATGTACCCTGGGTTTGCAGAGCTCAGCATGTGGTGGACCAGGGGTCAAGGACAAGGGTCAGATCTCTCAAACACAAGTGTGCTAGAAACCAATCATATGTGATGGTCAAGTTGATGCAAATTGGCTCAACACATACCAAGAGTAGATGAGAAAGTTAAACTTATGAACAAAGGAACTACTGGGGCATAGAGAATTACAAAGAGGAAAGATAATAGACAATAAACCTCAAAGCACATCGGAAGTCCAGTGGTAGGAATGGAAGTTTATGGAGCATCAGCCAATGAGCAGAATGTGACATGCCCTGTTCCACTGCAGGTCTCCAATCAAAGATAAAGAAAATAATAAAAGAATAACCAATGTACAGTGGCCTCCAGGGTAGACAGATAAGACGCGTTTGGTCAGGACATCTATCCAGAAAGTGCACTGGTGACAGCTGAACATGCATGCGCATACTTTCAGCACAGCGCTGTCCTAGAGTTTCACATTGTTTTTTGAAGTAGAAACACTGATCTTCTCCCTTGAGTGCCTTTGCCATGCTGCCTGTTCACAGAGAAGAGTCATGGA